TGGCCCAAAGCCCTGGGAGGGGGCGGTTTTCCCTCCGGCTCTGGCACTAGGACTCTCGTAGCGGTACAGGAGAGGAAGGCTCCCCTTCCAGTCCCAGAGGGTAGTTGGGGCAGCGGGCTCTGCTTCTCAAGGAGGGGCTGCTGGGAAGCCGGATTACTGCCATGATCTGGCTTGCAGCATGGACGGTCTGTCCCGGGTAGGGGAAAAAGGAAAACTGTAGCCTGAAACAAAGCCTTGGTCGATTGGATCTCAGGTGGCTGCTTTTCTAGCCCGAAGTGCGAGTATTGTGAAGCAGGGTCAGTCTTTAGCGAGGCAGTTTTAGTGTATATAATTCATGTGTCACAGTTGTAAAGCTAAAACCCTAAGCTTGTTAATTTACCTTACTGGGCAATGAAGGATACATGTTTTTTCCATTTCTGCTTCCAGCCATTCAGAGGCTGTTACACTTAGCTAAAGTTAACTTTAAAGCTAAACCTAGGTTAAACTGGGACTGTATGCACAGAATGTGGCTTATATAGGAGTCTGGGTAACATAGGAAAGCTCTGTTTCTCTATAAAGCCATACCAAGCATTCCTGGTAGGATGTTCTCCACTGATTACTCTTGGAGTTCGTTAGATGACTTTTAATAGAGTTCTAATATTTCCTCCTTTTAGGAGTAGGAACTGTGAAAGTGATGAAAAAAGCTCCACTCACTTTATGGTTTTTTCTACAGCAAATCTGTAAAGAACCGATGCCAAGTGTAACTTAGGGGCAGTGTGGTACTGAAAATTAATTTAACCGCATTGTTGCCTAACTGAAAATGTAGACAAGTGTAAAAAACAGGGAGCAAGAAATCTAGTGATTAAAACTTATTCTCCAGAATCTTAACAGTGTTTTAATGTCCTCCATACCAATAATCAAAGGATGTGCATTGTTTGCTTGACAGTGCTGGTTGATCCCAGGAACAGGAATTTTTCTTACTTGTGCCAGTACTTAAGGCTTTGAAAGCTACTCGTTGGATCCTTGTGTTAGTTTAGATACAAGATTATTTATCAATGTCATTATTATTTTTTTTAATATGGATGCAATATGTAAACTTGTGATAAAGAGATGCTTTTATTTAATCTCATCTGGTAAAGTTACAGCATTACTGAAGTCTTCGTAAGAACTCTTCATTTGAGGATCTTATCTCAGGAGGCAGTAAGTGAAGATGTTATTTGCCCAAGGTCGCACAGTAAGACAGTGCTAGTGCTGAAAATAGATTTTAAGGCTCTTAATTTGCAATGTTGCTGAGTACCAGAAAATATTTACTTTCTGTGTAATGAGTAATTTGCAGGGCAAACATATTGATCATCCTAAACAGACCTTGCAGTGCTTGTTGATACTGATATAGTCTCCTTTTCCCTTTTAATTAAAAGAGCATTTGGAAACTGATAATTTCATTTTCAAACCAAAAGCAGAAAATTAGGATTTTTTTTTTTTCCTTTTTTCCCTCCCTGATGCTTAGGATGCACTCTTCTGTTTAACCATGATAGAGAGGGTTCTAATACTGTTGCTTGTTACTAAGTGACATTCAGTTGTTTATGGATCATGTGGTTAAGGAAAGCCCATGATTTCTGTGTAAGCTCTTTTCTGTATTTTTCATATCCTTGACTTCTAAAGGAGTCAGTATTACAATATTCCTAAATTAAGGTACCTCCATGTTGCCAGTGTTAATGGAGTAGGGGCATAGTTAATGGGCATGTGACTTCAGAAAGAGACCTTCACATCAACTAGTACAAGGAGGCTTGTGACCTGAAATGGTATTTGGAATTCCCCCAGGAAAGTGAAATGTTTGTGTGCTAAGAGAGAGGTGTTTTGTTTTGTTTTGTTTTTTTCTTTTTTTTCTCCTTGGAAATAGTCCTTTGCACAGTGCTTTGTAGAAGTATGTGTATAAATGGAGTAAATTACATGGTGGAACACTTCAAGAATTCTTGTTACTTTTCTTTGGGTGTTGGCTTTTCTCTTTCAATTCATAGCAACTTTAACGGGAAGCTGTTGGATAGTCATTCTGCAGAAATTCTTGCATAGAGAATTGTGTAATTGAGTCTGAAATAGGGGACCAAATTGTGACTTTCTCTTTCCGTTGAATTCTGAACTCTTCACAGCATACATTTTTCTACACTTCTAACCCCCAGGTTTCTTTAGTTGGTCTTGTTTTTTGGTTGTAGGATGAAGTTTCTCTTGAGTTGATTGAAGAGTAACTGTTGTTTTAATGTATGTGTGCCTGTCTGCCTTTCATAGCACTTCATGTAGTTTTACCTTCTGTGTGCAGAACCACATTTCTGATTAATACCATTGTGGGAGCTCTAGCAATTGTATTATCCTGAGCACAAAAACCACCTCAAATCTTTGTCTTGTTATCCAACTCTAGATGACACTAGAAGCTATTGAAGTATTTCAATATCAAATAATAGTTAGACTTATTTTTATAAATGATGTTATTTAATTTCAGACTTTACTGTGACTCACAAAATCACTAATGTAATTGTCTTTTTGGATGTGTGGCAAATATACTTACTATGTAATTTGGTGTTATACAGCTCTTAGCATTTTCAGCATATTTATAGATTGTTTGATTACCTTCAGGATTTTATGTAGTTAATCTTTACTAGTTTCTTCTTTTTGGGCTGGAGCTTAAGAAAGCATTGAATAGCAAAACATTTCCTGATACTACACAAGTTGTTTTTGTAGGATACGTACCAAGACTCTTCATACTTATATTAGAAGTTAACATAGCTAAACATCTAAGTTGTTGGTGCATGTTGTGTGCAGAAGACAAATATAAAGTTGTCTTCTTCTGGATTCAATATGTCTACATTCAGAGGACACCTGTTTTAGCTTTTAGTTTTATTCCATTTATTGTTTTAAGATATGATGTTGATGTAAAACCATTTAACATAACTGGGTGTGAGTCAGCTGTTACCGGAGTAGGGTTGATACTGAAAGTTAAATGAGTCAAACCTGACTCGGAATCCTAAAATACTTCCCCCTGATTATTTTCCAGGATAATTTAGCTTTTCAAGTGTCAGGTTAAGGTAAGAGAAAGTAAACCTCATAGTGAGAACTTTTATTCTGGGTACAGTCGCCTGAGAATATTTCCATTGCCTGCCTTGGACAACATGTTGTCAAGAAAATCTATCCCTTGGGCATGCATAGACAACCTTTTCTTTGTAATTAGTAATTCCCAATCCTCTTTTAGCATTTTTTTTATATTTTGATTGCAAGTCATTAACAACATTTTTTTATTCCCTTCAGTTGTTGATTATTCTGTGCCTTACCTCATTTGTTGAGCTACAGTTACTGCATTGTGTACTTGTACTGTGGCTAGATGTAGCATTTTATGAAATGATAAAATGAGTGAGAATGAATTTAACCTTTTTTCAGAATGTCACATGGGGCGTCAATACTTGAGTTACAGACTGTGGAAGTCTGACTTTCCCTTTGTGATAGGGAACCTTCTGAGCATTGCAGCTGTTGTTTCTGTGCGGATGGTGTGAGCAGGAGACAAGACTTCTCAGCAGTTAATGGAATTCTTGTCATAAGTAGGATATTTTAAGTTGTTGATTTGACAAAATGTTTATTTAAGCTGTCAATATATAATAATGGATAAAACTTTTGCATGCCTCTTGTATTTATAAGGGACATTTTTCAAGTTAGCCTTAAGATAAAATTAAAATATATGGGAATGATTTTAATTTCTCTTTGTCATAATTTAGTCTAAAGTGGTACTATCACCACTGTTTCAAGGTTGTTGGTGTTCTTGTCTTAGTTTTCTTGACCAGTAATTCAGCCAAAGCTTTTGGAAGGTCCCCATCTAGAAAGCAGAACTACTCTTCTAAAAGTGAAAATTCCGTGGAAGAAAGTTTTGAGGATCTGCTCTTGAAGTATAAGCAGATACAATTAGAGCTTGAGTACATTAATAAAGATGAAAGACTGGCTTTGAGCAGCAGGGAAGAGAATGAACAGCAAGAGGATGATAAAACAGTGGACACTGAGGACCAAATAACTGTAGAAAATGACAGTATTACAACGGATACTATAAAAGAAGTATCTCCTGAGGAGAAAAATCCGGTTTTAGGCTTTCAGGCGTTTGAACTGAAACCTCTCAGACAAAAACTGCCTACGCCAGCTGAGAGGAGTAGATTAAAAAAAGGCAAAGAAGGAACAAAACAGTCATCACAGAAATCTGAAGTCACAGAATCCAGCCAAGGTAAATACTTGTAAAGTTGCTTTAGCTTGTAAAGTTTTTTGCTTACCATTATCTATCATATTTATTAGGTGTTGTGGACAATTTTACTTTAATTAAAGTGCTAAGTGTTTTAAGTTGTACATTTAATGTATTTAATTCCTGTTTTATGTAATTCCTTGAAGTACATAAATATGCTTGGAAGCATGTTTTTATTTTGTTTTAACTAATGTGTTTTTTTAGACTGATAATTTGACAGAAAGCATGAGGACAAGACTTGAAGGTTTTAATTGCTGGTCGTAGCAGAAATAATTGGCTTTCACTTAGTTTTCTTTCAATTTTTTACTTATTCTTTTTTACAGAAGCAAAATGTGGTGCTTTTTTTGGCTGAAAAGATTGCATTTAGAGACATCTTTTTCTGCATTTCAGTGTAACAAGCCTATAAGAACTATTTTTACCAGAATTATTTTGGTCATAATTGGTATTCACAAATAGTGAAGAAATCATGGGCCAGAAATAGAAAGGATTTGTAGAAGACGTGTAGCCAAAGGGTAGAGTAAGTATCTTGTCCAGGTAGTTCTGGACTGCAGGTCAATGAGCATAATTGCTCAGATGCATGAACCAGTTAGCGAGAAACAAGTTATCATGTCCAACTGACCTGTGGTCTCAGTCCTTGAGCTTGCTTTTAAGTCTGCAGCAAAATGAGGCAGCTAGCTTAAACTTCCTATTCTGAGGCTTCATCTAGTTCTAGTAAGTGTTTGCTGTGGTTGAGGATGTGCACGTGGATATCGCTTGTCATCTTATGTTAGGTAATTTGTCAATGTGTATAAACTATCAATTTGAGTGTGAAGAGGCAAGGTGGTAAAGGGGTGGATTTAACAACACAGGTCAGTAATTAGTAAGAATATGAAGAAAGGTAGGACCAGAACACTGAAAGTCAGAATGCTTTATATGTAACTTCAGAATGAGAATTTAGAAGAAACCTGTAAATAAACTGAAAAACTGTTATCTAATTTGTCAAACCACCTCATTTTCACTATTTTTTTAACCTTTCTGTCTTTCCTGTTGTAAAAAAAAAAAAAAAGAAAAGGCTCTGGTATTCTTTAAGAGGTAATGGAGGTGATGTTTTTAATAGGAGACATGAGGAAAAACAATGGGTCTTGACCATAGAAGAAAAACCAGTAGCCTGCAGGAAGAAAACATAGCAAGGCAGGAGTAAAAAAGCCATTTAAAAAGCAAAACAGTCTCAAAAAATACCTCCAGCTTCAAAACTTAAAGCACTGAAGTTGAAAAATACATTTCATATGACAGTGAAAATAGATGCTATAGCATGCACATTAAGAACATCTTAATTTTTGCACACCACTCAAATGTGTGACATGAAAATGATCTGAAAGCAGACAGATTATGTATGAGTGACTGTTTATGACAATGTAATACAGGCTTCCAAAGTAAAAAAAAAAACCCAGCTGATTTCAGTTATTGCAGATTCATGTGTATACTTTTGATTATGCATATATTAGGAAATAAGCAAAATTTAATTTTCCCATTATATTTATTTTTAAATGGTGTACTGGATGTTTCTCCAGACCTGTTCAAGTTGAAGAACTTGTCTTAACTTGAGGAAGTTTGTGTCTCTTTCTACAATTAATCCTCTGTGGTTCAGCTGCCCTGACAGAGGCTTTTCAGTATTCCTTCCTTTCCTTCCCTTCTTGCCCATTAGTCTGTTCTGCCTGTGTTGTCCCCTTCTGGTTTCAAAGAGTATTTTAGTTTGTGTAGTATGTCCCTGCTTATGTATATCTGCATCACAGAAACTAGTATGCTGTCTGTATCTCCCTGTTTCCATCCTGTGGACTGAATGGTGAGGATCTTTGCTTTAGTGTAATAACTTTTTTAAATTTTCTCATACAATACCTATGAATATTAGATACTATTTTTCTTCCTCTTGAACATGCTTTTAAAAAACATATGCACATGCAAGCAAGACGACCTTCAGCATTTGCTACATGCTGTTTGTTTTTAGGTATAAGAACTTGGTATATTTTAAACAGTGCCTTTCTGAATATGACTTTTTGTAATATGCTAGGAAAAGTAAAAGCTGTATGGAGTGCAAACTTACTTTCTACCAATTTGAATTGTGAGAAGGATTCTGTCTTTGAAAAAAGGCTAATACAGGAAAAAGTCTCTCAGCTTCTCGCTAAATGTTTGTTTCCTTCCTCTGATGCAGATAAACATTAGCTATATGTTGTTATATATAAATTATATAATTACTGTTTTGCTATAAATTCCATTAATAGCTATTAACTATAATCATTCAATTATGCAATAGTATAATATACAGCATTATGGATATTCTGTATAAAATATAATATGTCATATGTGTGTGTATATATATATATAGACTATATAATAATGAGATGGATATATGGATTTTGGGCAGTCTGCCAAATCAATATGTCAACATCTTAATGTTTAGCAGGAAGGCGTTACTATTTGGTATTAATTTCCATAGGATAACTCCTCTGGTCTAATTTGGCATGAAATGGAGTAAGTGTGCTCTTACTGCAGCTTCGGGCCTTTGTATTTAATTCTGCAAAAGATGGACTGGTTGCTCAAAATAGCTGCCAGTGGAATCTGAGATGCTCAGGACAGCAGCTGATATGAGATGGTAGCATAAAACAGTTGGCAAGAAGTCTTCTTTTCCCCTTGTCTCCAAATCTGTTTTTCTTTGCTTCTTGGAGAAGTGTGTGTCAACCTTAAGACAGAGAACTATTAAAAAATGACAGATCTTGCCTTAGGCTTATGGCATCACGATGATGTGGATTTTATCAGACATGCCAATTTATATTAATGTTTGTTAATGTGATCTTATACATACAACTGCTCTTCTGTTTTACACTATGTAACGATACTGATAAAATACATTTGTATGTATTAAATGCTGCACATCATTTTAACGTAGTTCTGTCTCATGAGAAACAGCTCGCTCAGAAATATGGTATTTTTCTTTTTGAAGGTACAGAAGAAAAAGAACAAACATCAGTGCGAAAGCTTAACAGTTCAGATGTTGCATCTGAAAAGGTAAGAAACTATTCCTCTGTGGAGGAGCCATAATTATGATACTCTGATGGCTTTTTTCCAAATTGAGCCCATAAATGTTTGAGTAATGGAAACAGTGCATTCTTAAGGAATGACACTTACCAGTACAGCAGGATTTTTAAGCTGTCTCTTGGTAAGTTTTGGGACACACGTAAAGACTCAAAAGATTTAGTTATTAAATGATGTTTCTTGACTTTTTGTATTATCCTTTCTTCTCTTGTCTTCTCAAGAAGCTGCTTGATGATGAGGAGGAGATGTCTGAATTGCAACTTAGGCTTCTTGCACTTCAATCTGCTAGTAAAAAATGGCAACAGAAAGAACAACAGGTGATGAAGGAAAGCAAGGAAAAATTAACAAAAACGAAAAGTGTAACACAGAAAATCAAAGCCAGTACAAAAGCCCATTCAACAAAAAAAACTAGTGCTACAGGTAATAAGTTCAATGACTATCAATGGCGTGACCTCTGAAATAAAAAAAACCAAAACAAACTGTTATGTGAAACATTGGGCAATGAGCCTTTAATCCTTTTAAAACCCCATACATCTACTCAAAGCTCTTGAAGAATCTAGGATTAGGGTGAACCATTTAGGTAAGGTAGAGTTAATCACATATCTTTTTATTTAAAGCCAAACAAGGTCTGAGGAAACAGCAGACAAAGACATCAAAGAAGATGCAGCAGCAAAAGGAACAAGACAGGCGTCAGAAAGAGGAAGACCTGAGGAAACAAGAAGAGGAAGAGGAGAGAAGAAAGAGAGAAGAAGAAATCAGAAAAATCAGGGACCTCTCAAATCAAGAAGAGCAGTATAATCGATTTATGAAGCTAGTTGGAGGAAAGAGGAGATCGAGAAGCAGGGTAACAAATTTGTTACGTGGTGTTCAAGTGTTATTTGGAATTCATGAGTGATTTCTCTCTTGCCCCTTCTGATTTTATGTCTCTCCTTTCTGTGCTCCTCCTTAAAAAAAAAAAAAAAGAAAAGAAAGGCTCAGAGTATTTCAGTGTTTGCAGTATTTTAATCCCATGCTAGACAGACATTCCCTTTGGGTTTGGTAAGATCAGTTTTGTATGAATTGTGCATTTGCAAGTCAGTGGTAAAGTGTTTTCCTCATAAAGATATTTTGAACATTATGATCAGAGACTGGTCTGTAATTTAAACCAAACCAGTCAACCAAAACTTCTTGGCTTTCTTCTTAGATTGTAGTATTTTCTCCGCATTTTCAAACTTCTTGTGTCTATACAGCGTCAGTGGCCTGCTTCTTTCTAGATGTCTTGTTTTTTGTAGTATTTTTTAATTTGTCAAGGTACAGAATATACCTAGGCACAAAACAATTACTTCAGCCTCATTACAGGATGACAGAATTGTTCAAATTTATGAAATAATAGAGTTACTGCAGTGCTCATCATGCTGCACTTGCAGGCTATCTTCCTTGTTTCGTTTTGAGATTAGCAAAAGACACTTGAGTCAGTAATGTTCTGTCTCTAAAACATTGGTACTTTACACAAAAAGTGACAGCGTTTCTTCAGAATTAGTTCTTTCATCATGGAAGCAGTACAGCTTGCTGCAGGGAGATGCTTCAGGTGCTTGGAGCTACTGATGCTGTAAGGCGAAATGAAACTGCACCCAAGGGACTCCCTTTTTGAGGTCATGTTATAGACAAATACCATTTATAATATTAATGGGTGGAAAACTAAAGATAAAAGTGTTTAACTGTAAACAGTAGTAATTCCAAAAGCTACCAAAATGTCTAGTATATGCCTCAGAAAAATCAAATTGAGGAGTCTAAGAAGTTGTACTTACCTGTTCTGCATATTTTCACTGTTCACTGAACGTTGATTGGCATCCATATAGCATTAGGCATTCTTTAAACAGTCTGATTTATTAGTTAATGGTCTCTGGGCATGTTTGTGTGTATGTGGCTCCTTCAGGGACAATAAAAGGATTCTCCACCTGAGACATCACTCTTAGAACAATCAGAACATGTTTCACCTAAGCATACAACCTTTATGATAGTGAAGATGACTCTTGTGCAATTTTGTGTTGTTTCTCTCAAGGGTAGTTTAAGCACTCCTGATAATTGCCATGACAGATAACAGAAATAATAAAGCATTTAAAGAGATTTCAGTGTTTCAGAAATCTGTAACAATGGCAATTTACCAGGTACGTGACGACCTAATAGATATTTAAAAATTGCTTTTGTGTATCATGACACTCTCCTATTCCCCCCCCCTTCCCAAAGAGATCCAGTTTTAAAACTGCCTGTTAATTTGCGATGAATTTGATTAAAAGGTAAACTTCCGTTTGCTCTTTTTGTATAAGCTAGTAAATTGTATTTATAAAGCAATTAGAAGACAAAATTATAAGGTCCCATTTCTAAAATTTACTTTTAATTGGTTTGCTCTAAAAGAATAACATAAGAACAGCTGGATAAAATACACTTTTTTGTGTGTTTAGTCTTCAGATATGGACTTGAGATGGTCTTTGGATAAGCAGCCTACAGATAGTGCAGGAGGCATATATCAGTATGATAATTATGATGAAGTTGCTATGGATACAGATAGTGAAACTAACTCTCCAGGTAAGACTTATTTACTGTTTTCTTATATGGTGATTGGTGAAAATAGTTAAAAAGGAAATGAGCTATAATTTTAGAAGCAAAGTATTTTGAGATGTGTTAGTTATAGAACTAACATTTTAAAGTGAGATAATTCTGTCCTTTTTTTAATGCTGACTCTCTTTCCTCTCCATCTCTGCTGTAGTGGTATTTTGAAGGTCTTCAAGGTTATACTGTTCTCATTGCAGTACTGTAGACTTTATTCTTTTACATTCCCAAGCAGCTGTGTAGAAAGTCCAGGGTCCCAGGATGTTGACTGGATAGGCAGCAGCCTTGCAAAAAGGGCCTGGGGGTTCCAATAGACATTAAGTGAAATACGAGTCAGCAGTGTGGCTTTGGGTGATAAAGGCAGACTGCAACCTGGGTTGCAGTGCTGTGACTCTAAGGGGAGGGTGGTTGGAGGGGGCCGTTAAGCATTGACGAGACTGCATCAGTTTTCTGGTTTTGTGGTTGGAGAAAGATAGTGACATACTAAAAGGAGTCTAGCAAACGACTTTGGAATAAGGGAAACTGTTTCAGGCTTGGTTTTCATAAAGTTCATTAGGGACTGGAGCATTTGGTTTATGGAAGGAGACTGGGAGAGCTGAGTTTGCGTTGAGAAGAGAAGGCTAAGGAAGGTTTTTGCTGCCGTCTTCAACTACCTAGTGGGCAGTTACAGAGAAGACAGCTAAACTCTTCTGTGGAGTGTGCAAAAGAAGGGTAAGGGGCAACACTTAAATTGTAACAAAATAAATTCTGATTAGATACGAGGGAAAACTTCCACAGAGGATGGTCAAATACTACAACAGGTTAACTGAAAATGTTTTGGAATCTCCATCCTCACATATACTTGGAACTTGACTGGTCAAGGCTCTTAGCAACCTGCCTTTGGGGGCAGCCCTGCTTTGAGCACCTGTACTGGGACATATGCCTTTCAGAGGTCTTTTCCAGCCTAAGTAGTTTACTGACTCTTGAATTTGAGGTGTATTTAAGGTATTCAAGTTTTCTTGTTCCAGCTCAACATGTGGACTGTTCAGAAAGCTTCATTAAGCATACTACTTTATGGGCCATTTTTATTCTCTTGCTTTTAATCTTCCATATCTCTTTTTTTTTTATTATTATTTTCTCTTTTTTTTTTTTTTTCTCCTTTCTAGTCACCCTTCCTTATGTATTAGTTTGCTAAAAGCTGCACCTGCTGTTTTGGACATGTAAGCTACATGAATCTTCTCTTGATGAAGTATCTCAAGGTCTAGCTTTATGTTTCAGAATTCAGTATCATTTGGTCTGCTTCTGTTCTAATTTATATCGTATTTTTGGTAGCCAGTAATCAGGAGAGTGTGTTGAGATACCTAGTTTAAGAAGGTACATTCTCACAAGTTAAATCAAATTTGAGGGCTGAATCATACTGAATCGTTACCTCAGTCATACTGTTTGGCTGTATGCATTTTGTATGTAAAATAGAAGAAGGACAGAAAGGACAGGTGGCTACTCTTTTTATATACATATCTGTAAGAATTAGATGCACTGTGCTGTGTCTGTTGTTACCTTTCAAATTGGTGTATAGTAAAGACATGTCTTTCCCTTCTGCTGCATTAAATCAGTTGATGTATAAGCTTGAGTTGGTGTTGAGTAATTACCTACCAGATTTCTTACACTCAGTTGTTTTTTTTTTTTAATTACAGCTGCTTCTCCAGTGCAGCCTCCTTTCTTTGAGTGTCCATTGGGGTACTATCCACCTCCAATACCACCAATTTCCTTGCCACTGCCACCTCCAATTCCTGTAAGTAACCTTGAAAGGGGTGCATTGTTGAAAATGTTGATAATTCTCATTTTGTATCTTATTTCTAATGCTAAAGTTAGGATTAAATTTATATTCTGTTTTTGATACAGTTCTCTGTTTGGTGATTCCCTTGAACTTTAAAACTCTTAATTTAATCTTCTTTTTTATTTTTGGCTGATCCAATTCCTGTTTAATGGAAGATCTCCCTATTGAACAAAAATTTTCTCTTCATTGTTAGAGCTATGCTGTTTCATAAAAGAAAGCAAAAATTGCCTGAAGCACATAAAGAAAAACAATGAATTGGAATTGTTAGCACAAGGCAACTTTGCCTTTTGTCTCTAGGCCATGTATGTAGATAGGCTTATTCTCTGATGTGTTAGCTGGGGCAGGGGCAACCCCCAAAATGTAGCTCATCCCGGTCCTTCTCTCAAACTTTGTGCATTTTCACTATATGTTGTTTCTTCTCACCTAAGAGTCCATGTGGAAGTTGAATTAGTGAGGTTTTTTTACCACCACTCTTCTTCACTGAATGATTGTTACCCTTCTTAGTAAAGCAGTAGAAAGTTGCCATTCCCTGCTACGACAGCTTCAGAGTTTTTGGCTAAGGGAAATTGTAATTTTGTTAGCTAAGACACATTTGTAAAACTGTTTAAGGACTGTTTTTTTTTTTCCCCAAGCAGTGTGAACCTATCTCGTCAGCCATGTTTCTGTGTCTAGACTGTCTCTGGTTCTGAATTGTCATTTACATCTAGTTTGTATGTCTGTGCTACTTAACTACGCAATTGTAACCTTGTTGTTTCCGTTACCTTTGAGTGATTACTGACTGTTTAGCAGCAGCCTTTGACAGTGATCCAAATCCACCGCAGTTTGAATTACTCTTAACCAGTGAAATAATTTAGGTCTCAACCTCTGCTGAATAATCGTAAAGTAGTTGTAGTTTTCACGTTTCAAACCTTTGTTTTCCTTTTTATCTCAGCCTATACCATCTTTGAACCAACTTTACGTGGAGGGTATTTCATGTGTTTCTCTTGAGCCACCTCCACCTCTTCCACCTCTTCCCCCTGAAGAGCCTGAACAGCCACCAAAACCTCCATTTGCAGATGAGGAAGAGGAAGAGGAGATGCTCTTAAGAGAAGAACTACTCAAGTCACTAGCCAACAAACGAGCTTTCAGATCTGAGGTACTCCATTGGTTTTTGAATGTAAACCTCTAGATGGCAGTCTTGACCAAAACGTAAATGTGACCTGTTAAGTGAGGGCCACAGGCTTTTTATGCTGCCTGATGACTTTAAAAAAAATGTGACTGAAAAAAAAATATTTCTGAATTTCCATAACCCTCTGCCCCCCAAAAGAAACTGAACAAAAGCCACCCTGGAACACCCTTAGAATTGTAAACTGCAGCTTGTCTCTTATTTCTGAAGGAATTCTGAAACTTCAAGGTACTGAAAATTGAGTATGTTTAAGGTAATGGGGATGTTATTTTTTGCAAAAAGATGTTTATTATTTGTCAACTGTCAGTTAGAAAACAAGGTGCTTAACTTTGTTTCAGCCTTCTTGCAAGAGAAGCTAGGAGAGGTTAACTGTTTTGGTTTTTTTTGGAGTGAGAAGCAAAATTTGTTGTTTTGAAAGTTTAGATTGTTTTTGACCTCATTAAAAGGTTGCAGATCTTTTGCAGTTGACCTGTAAATAACTGGCATATTCTTGTGTGTCTTTTTGATATTATTGTAGAATTGCAAGATTTGTCTAATAAGTTTGGATAGTCTGACAAAATCACAGTTCCAAGCTCCAAGACATGTGTTGAACAGTCTAATTTATGCTTATGTCTTTTAAAATAGCTGTGTACAGTGTGTATTTTTATGACTGTACTTTTGTTTTATTTTGTTAGGAAACGTCAAGTAACAGTGGTCCACCTTCCCCTCCTGTTCCAGATAATTTGCAGTCTGTGCCAAGGAGCAATCTGTCCGCTGTCAGTATTAATACTGTGTCTCAGCCACGGGTACAAAATACAAAGTTTGTTAGAGTGCCGAGGCTTCCACGAGCAGTGATCACAGTAAGGAAATATTGGTGCTTTCTATTAATATGACTGTGAGTTGAAGTTGTCCTCAGTTCAAGTGAACAGCAGACTTAAGGTTTTCTTGTGGTACAGCACAGAACAGTAGAGCTTCAATTAAACATTTGAATTATTAGTAACTTTGATAATCCATGTGCTGTTCTAGAAAGAATTTGGCACTGAAGTAATTATTTACAGCGTAAGAGAGCATCAAAACACACCAGCAGTCATCTGAACTGAGAGAGACTGTAAATATAGTTCAGTTAACTTATCTTCCAGACTAGCATAGACTAAAGGGTGCTATTCAACAATAGCTGAGCCAATGTAATTGATTTTTGTTCCCAAAAAAGAGGTGATCTTGTTCTTTCTCCTGCTCCTGCCCGGATGGTGTCCTCCTTCTTTTAAAATGAGGTCTGGAGCATCAGTCTTGTTGCTTAACTTATTTAACATGCTAAACTGTTTAGAAGACTAACCTTGACGGGGTGGAAAAAGTACTTCTAGAGGCAGTAAAATTTTTTCAGTGAACAGTGTGTGAGCATCAGAGCTAGTGCAGTAGTGGTGGCAGATGGCATGTGCAGGTGGGAGGCAGAGGAGAGAGTATTCTCTTCAGGCAGCAGCAGACTTTGCTACATTAGCTCAAGCCGTACTCGATAACCTGACCTTCATTTGAATGGTCATGGGAGGTACATGTAGCCTAGCATTTGATTTGTGGTGCCTGCAGTCTCCTTGGGGTGTTGGAAACATCTTACAAAACCATCTTTGCCTTTGCTATGCCAGACTGGAAGCCCGTGTATTCTGTTCTAATACCACATCTTACAAAGCTTTGTTTGTTGTTGCTCTTTCCTGTGCAGATTCTCTAATGAATAGTATGATTGAGTCCATACCTTTTCCTATCTGCCAGTGCATGGTGTCTATAATGAGCCTGATTTTTTTTTTTTTTCTAGATTTGGAGGAATTTAGTGTCTTTGAGACTATTATGTCACCATCAAATCTGTCTGTAGCTTGCTAACAGGTTTCTTGCTCATAAATACAGTACAGACTGTATGATCACTTGGTTACCTGATGCCATAATGAGGAGAGGGGGGGAAAAAGCTTAAGATAGTAGAGACCTGAATGTTCGTTTTTTTGATCATTCTAAGGCCTACTTTCCTTTCTGTAGGAAAACTGTGCTCTTAACCTTAAAATGGATGAATTTTCTTTTGTCTGTACCCATCTTCACAATCTACTTTACATTCTGCGTATAACTAGACAAATTGTTCAATTTGGACATGCTTAGATCCTTTCTATAATAATTTCATTTACTTACATTTTTGAGTGGTCTTATGTTTAAGAACTAAACCTATCCTGAAAAAACTCTTAAATTACCATGTATTCTATTGTCCTAAGTCTAATGAGACTTCATTAACTGCTGTTGCATAAATGAGGGAGAACACATGTTACTGGGGAGCTGTTGGTTTGTTTTAGTAACATAATAAATGTCTCTTATCAGCTGTGCTGTTGAAAGGTGTTAGGTAAATGTCAAAAAACCTGCAGCTGAAATTCAATGCCTATTGGTTATGATGGTTAGCTTAGTTAAAGCTGACAGGTTAATACCTTGTACTTGAATCAGCTAACTTGGCTGAGAACCTCTGCGTAGTGAAATAGCCTACAGATACTGGTTTGCTTTTTCAATTACATCTTGTAAACCTTTTTCAAAGTAGTCATGGACAATCAGAGGTCTGTTCACCACAAATTGAAAATATGTCTTAGAACATTATGGAGAGATCTTGAGTTACAGCTGAAGCTGTGATTCCCCTGCAGTAGCAGCTAATCTTACTGAAGGTGGTGTGATGGTAGTTGCCTGGTGTTACTTTAGTGATTTAACCATTTTGTTGAAGCACATCAAAAGATAACACCTGGAAAGAAAAACACCTGGAGAAAGGCTGACTTTGACCCTCCCCATTGTCAGCTTTTTTCCTAGAAGAAAGATGGAGAAGGCAGTTAGAGACAGTTTACCCTACACAGCTGTGCCCAAAGCACCTTGGCAGCTTTGGTCTTTTAATACCAAGAGCTGGTGATAGGGAAGGGTTGTGTTGGACATCTGAAGATGAGAAAGGTGTAGTGCCTTGCCTGATTAATTTAGGTTTCCATGGAGCTACAACCAGGTAGTATTTGTGAAAAGAGGACCAGTGCTTTTTTCTGTTTTCCTGCACCAATATCAATTGGAGTGTCACCTACCTGTGCTATGGTGGTACAAAAGTGATGCAGCTGTAGCACACTCAGAAATAGTGGATACAATCCTTATTTTAAGAACTGTCCAGAAAGAGAATATCGAAAAGAAACAAATGTGGAAATTGGATATTTTTTTCACTTTAAAAATTAGGGTCTTTTTGTGGGGTGTGTGCTTTAAAAGACACTTGGAGCTTTGAAGAGGTCCTGTCCCAAGGTGAAGGTTAAATGTGTAACTGTAATTGTCCAGACACAATGGAGATGGGAAGAGTAGTCCTGGAATTGGGAACTAAATTGCTTCTTTTCAAGCTGTAACTCCAGAGCATTTGTGGTTAATCTAAATTGTCTGCTTGTTTCTGCATTTTTCTTTGTGCTGGAATTGTCAGGCATCTGATCTTCAGTGAGCTGTTTCAGTTAGTTATGTTGGCAAAAAAGTGATTAATCTTGTTTCATTTGTTATTTATGTACTGTTGGTGTTCTGCCAATTTAACTGCCTGAGCAGCTCACTGTAAGGTCTGCTAAGTACAGCCGTGGGACAAGAGGCATCACAGCTGTGTGGCAGAAAGATGAGCGAGTTCTGGTATGTCTGCCACAACATTTCGAATGCAGAATTGATTGATTGTTACCTCTCAGCTACTTAAAACAGTTGCTTGCAGATGATCATTTTCCTTATATTGAAATAATTCCTGAATTATAGGAATCAAAGGTTTGAGATTCATTTGCTCTGACTGTGGAGATGTAAATATGCTGCAGATACCTGGAAATAGGTTGAAAATGTTGGAGTACCTTTCCTGTTATGGTATATCTTGTGGATTTGCACAGATGCTTAGTTGTTTGTTTGTTGGTTTTTTTTTTTTCTTACAATGTGGAATTGATGTGCCATGATAACAAAAGGAGTTAACCTCCTTTTTCTCTCCTAGTAAATATATGTTCAGTTGTATCTGTCTTGGTAACTTTTTCTTCATGCTATAAAACTTTTTTATTTTCCCTGCAGCTTCCAAAACACAAGTCTGTTGTGGTTACATTAAATGACTCCGATGATAGTGAGTCCGATGGAGAGCCGTCTAACTCAGCTAACAGTGTGTTTGGAGGACTAGAATCTATGATAAAAGAAGCAAGGAGAAATGTTGAGGTAAACTTTATCAGCATTTAATAGGTTTATTTTGTAAGGATTTTTCTTTGTATATGGAATTTAACTTTAGAATTTGGTCAAGAAATATTGGATTACATCAGAAATGGGCAAGAGTGAGTGCATTACTCATGTCTGGATCACTACATTGTAATTGGAATTGCACAAGCTATAAAATGGGGGTTTTTTTGTTAAGATGTTATCCTGATGATAGAATTTTTAATATATTTTGGTTTTATTTTTTCAGTTAAATTTCAGTGCATCTTTAATTACTAGCAAAAAATACTGGCTTAAAAGATCTTACTAGCCTTGAACAGCTTTAAGTTTGTTCTGGAATGCCTCTTAAAAATAGCAGCTAGTAGCTGTATTTTGAACTAGTGTGACTAGTATTGACTTGCACCTCGTTGTAACAGGCCTCAAAAATCAAAGCCCCTCCAAAATCAGAAAAAGAAAATGATCCGATGAGAACTCCAGAGGCTCTACCAGAAGATAAGAAGATAGAGTACAGACTCTTAAAAGAAGAGATTGCCAGGTACAACTGAGATAATTGTTCCTGTAAAACGTATATTCTTTGTAGTCCTTCACTAGTCTATTTTTGTAACTGGAACGAAAATCTGAGCTTGAAAACCTTGCCATTGCCTTCAGGTTTTTCCCACATTGAATTCTTAGTAAGACAACATAGGAGTATAAAGTCCTTGGATTTGAACTGACTTATGTTAGTTGATTGCAGTTGTGGAAGGTTTTTTCTTTTAACTTGAAATCTTGTCCTGCTACTTTTTTAAGATTTAAAAACTATTTGGAGTACCCATCAAAATGAATGTTGAAGCTACTGAACATCTTTGCTTTTAACATCTCTGTTTTAGTCGTGAGAAGCAACGCTTAATTAAGTCTGATCCACTGAGGAACAATTCATCCCCTGCAAATTCTGATGGTGAAGTTGATGGAATTGGGAGAATAGCAGTAGTGACAAAACAAGTCACAGAAGCAGAAGGGAAGCTTAAGAAAAACAGGTACATACGTCACTGTCACAAGTCCTACCTTGTTTGCTTAGCAAGATTAAAATAGTAAATAATCTTTTTGAATGTGAAGCATTTAAACTGCAGCAAACAATTGTTTCTGTTGTCTTGAACTATTCAGTATTGAATACTATTGCTGTACAAAAGGAATTTTGTTGTAGTGCCAGTGTGGTGTTTGATGGAACTTTTAAGTAGGATTTGTCATGCCAGCTGTTTTCAGCTGTTCAATGACCAGACTATCATCTGTGCCACCTAAATACTCTGAAATACGAAGAAATGAGTGCTTTTCACTACTCAGTATGCTTTAAGGGTGGCATGTTTCAATGGAATATGCCCAATGTATGTAAACAAATGAGTGTTTCTGCAGAACGGGTACGCTGTTTGAAGCTTTTCCTGTACGCCTTTTCTTTTAGCTTGCCTCTTCCGTGTTTCTCACCCTTCTTCCAAGTTACTGTGGAAAATAAATGCTTTGCATCCTTCTTTTCTGCTTCCGTTGCCACTTGATTATTTCTTTGTGGTCTTGTGAACAAACTGGTTTCTGGTCAGACATCAATTGAAGGACATTTTTCACCTCTCCCTTTATTCACACCCAAGTATCCAAGTCTTTATCTCGCTTCCTTTAATGCATAGCTTTTTATATTCAGTTACTCTGCTATTATGCCATAATACTATGGCTTGCAGTCTGCTAATGCACCCTGAGGAAAAATTGGGTTGTTACTTAACAGAAAGCAAGAATATGTGTGTTTTGTATGTTTTAATGTTAAAAACAGTATTAAAGATACACTAGTCGCTTACCTTCCTCTGTCCTTATAACTAGAATGTTTTAATCTGCTTTATACTGACATGCTGAACTTGGGATACCGAAATCTGCTGTATGTACTACTAGTATTTATTATTTCATGGATGTTAGGACTATCTGGAGGAATTTAGAATGTTGTTAAGTGAAAAAGAGGTGGGGTTGCAGAGGAGCAGTGATAGCTCTGAGAAGCTTCCCTTTGGAAAAAAAAAAAAGTTTACACGGCATTTCTACTTTTAGACTACTGTTGATGAAGGATGAATCTGTCTTGAAACACTTGTTGCAACAACAGGCCAAGAAGAGAGAGAATGTTAGAATTGCTGAAAATAAGATAAACAAACTGGCTGAACAGCTACAAGCAACAGAGAAGATCTTGAATGCTAATAAGATGTTTCTCAAGAAGCTTCAGGAACAAGTAACTTTAATTTTGAAATGCTTCTGTTTCCTAGAGCGGGAAATCTTGAAATGGAAAGCCTAATTTTTGGAGGCAGTAGGCTTTCTTTGAATTAATAATTAATTAATTCCCATGTATTTTCTGATTATATTTTATTATGTGGTCGTATCTGAAAATTTGCATCTTAGTGTAGTATTTTTTTTTCTTTTTTTCAGATTCATAAGGTTCAACAACGAGTCACAGTAAAAAAGGCTCTGGCATTAAAATATGGAGAAGAACTTGCTCGAGCAAAAGCAGTAGCAAGTAAGGAAATTGGGAAACGAAAACTGGAACAAGATCATCTTGGAGTAAGTCTGTTGCATGCTTTTAAACAGTGCTGTACTTGAAAAGCAGTAGCAATTTTGATTAGGAAACTTAGTTCAAATAGGAAAACAGGAAAAAATTTCCAAAGCACTATAGGAATCTTCCTATTGGTGTGTGAGCCAGCACAAGCAGGACACAGGAACAACCACAAAACCGTGGATGAAATGCAAAGAGTGAATTTATTTTTGTTACCTTGCAAGCCGGGGGATCCCCAAAGCAGCACCAGGGCAGTCACACAAGCTGGGATGCAGAGATCAGTCTTCGCTAGAGGATCACCAAACCTCCTGGTTTTGGCTGTATAGAAGGGATTTGTGCAGACATACTTTACCACCGTGCTTTGATCTTTCCCACACCAGGGCAGGAATCTCAAGCATATTCGGTAGGATGCCTCTAAATCTAGCACAGGCCTGTGTTATCTAATCACAGATGTTGTACTTGTCCAGCACACAAAGCTAAACAACAGTTAGTATAATATCTGTGTTTTTCTACACTTCAGCTGCAAGTCACTTGAGTGTGTTTACAGTCCTCCTTGCCAATCTTCCGTTATTTTCCCACACTGCTGGTTTCCTATATTTTTGAGAATTCAACAGAAAAAGCATTAATAACTTGAAAAAGAAAACTGTTCAAAGCCTACGTTTCTGTGCCAGGGGAATGTCATTAATAGATAAATAATAAGAGGAACTGTATGCCTGTGAAGGAAGGAAGGAAATACTTTAACTGTCTGTAGACATCAGTGATCTTGTTAAAACTATCTAGCAAAGACACTGAAGAGGGGATCTGATCTTGTTCTGAAAAACAAAATCTAGAAAAACAAGGCTAATATATTTTTGTAAATTTTTCTTTGTGTCCACCTGCAATACCCGTGTGTATTCTTCTTTTATAGCTCACCTTTTAAATAGGGCAAGAACTTCTGTTGAAGCCCCATACGTGATGTAGGGTAACTTTTATTGAAAAACCTACAGACCTGCTAGTTGAATTTTGGCAAACTCTTTTGTGTTTTTCCTGCTGTTGGTTGAATTTTTCTGGCAAGAGTTTAAAATACGTTTTTATAAACCCTGAATTAAATCTTGCCCATGTTTCATTTACCTCCTGTCAATAGATTGGTAAATGTGAAAATGAAATAAAGGGAATTTTTTTCTTTGCAGCCAAGCAAAATGTTGAAATTGGAAAACTCCCCTGCATCAAGTCCAAAAAAGCATTCAGCAGAATTGATTGCACTAGAGAAAAAACGACTGCAGCAACTAGAATATGAATATGCTCTAAAGATTCAGAAATTGAAAGAGGCCCGTGCACTTCAAACCAAGGAACAATCAAATATTGCGCCTCATGCAGAAGAGGAATCTGAATTTGCATTACCTCAGCCATCACTTCATGATCTTACACAGGATAAATTGTCTTTGGACAGTGAAGAAAACTACTTCGATGATGAAGTTCTGTCTCATTCAAACCGAGAACGAAGGAGATCTTTCAGAGAATCCAATTCTTTCACTAAACCAAATCTTAAACACGTGGACACTCCAAAACAAGAAACTATAAACAAACTTTCTAAAAAGGCATCAGAGGAGCCTGAGCTGTTCCTTGGGTTGAATATTGATGAACTGAAAAAACTTTATGCTAAAGCTGACAGCTTGAAAGAGCTGTTAGTGAAAAGTACTGCCTTTATAGTACCTAAGGAACATCTGTTGTGTGGTCAGGTAAATGCTTTAAAACTAAGTATGAATGTTGTCTTTATTAGGTGGCATTGCAATTGCTGTATATCTGTTTATCTGTTTTCTAGGAAATTTCAGTGGACATGGATTTTGTTACGTCGCAAAGTAAACAAACTGAAGTGAAACCATTTCCATTTGGACCATATCATAGTCCTCTTCTAGTATTTAAATCCTACAGGTATGAGGACCTTTTAGTTACTTTTTCTGGTATGCAGGAGTCCCTTGCTTTTGTGCAGTATGCTACTTTTACACTGTATTGTGTACTATTCCCTGCAACTGGATTGTTGTTTGGTATGCCTAAATTAAAAAATAATAGTTAAGTATTTAAAAACAGTATTTTTATATCCAGTATGAAGCAATCTGAAATCCAGGAAAAAATTAACAGAAGTGTATTTCAATTATGCAGACTTTAAACTTGGCTAAGATTTACACTGAGTTGAGATTGAGCCAATCACCTATTTTTGTATTGCTGTTTGGTGGAAAGAGGCATGACCACAGCGATTTCAGCTTGACTTAAAGTAGGCACCCGCAAGTGTAATCCATTTAACGCATCTGTCTTTTAACTAAAGAGAACTTTGTTCCTACACATTAAATTTTAGAAAATAAAAGTCTGGAATTTAAACTGGAGCAGTTCAATCCTACCATATACTTCATTTTTTTAAATTTCTATATTCTTAAGTAGCAAAAGATGGAGGATCGTATCTTTACAGGAGTATTCATTTTAACATCTTGTAGGTTATGCCTTTAGTTCTTTAAGGAGCTAGAAATCCCAAAATTGACATAGACTTTAGCTAAAGATTTAAAACAAGTAATGGTCTGCTCAGTTCAGACTGGTTTTTGTTTGTTTACACATTCTAAAATACAGTGTGGATTTTTTCACTGTTTTTTCAGGTTAATCTTCCATGGTTCTCTTTTTACTTCTGTTTTACTTTGATCTTATGCTGACTAGAGCATAAGTGCAGTTTTTCTAGAACTAAACTGAAATTCAGTTTCAAGACTTTGCTTTCCCTATACTACATTTCCTGTTCTTATATGAATGATGTTCTGCACCTAAGGGAGAAGAGAATGCTAGAACAGAATCTCGTTAGATTGAGAAGTACTGTTTTGTTCTTTCCCCCCTCTATCTGTTTTAATCTTCCTCTTAACTCATACATTAAGTATTGCTCATGGTTAGTAGTAGGGTTTTGGAAATGATGAGATTTAATACAGAAAAAGTGATTATTACTGATGTCTTAACTCGTAAGCTTTGTCACAATAATTCACTTTCATTTTAGGTTTAGTCCGTATTTTCGAACCAAGGAAAAGCTGTACCTCAGTTCAGTAACATACAGCAATATGATTGAGCCAAAACAGTGTTTCTGCCGTTTTGATTTAACGGGCACATGTAACGATGATGACTGTCAGTGGTGAGTTCTTAATTTTGCTCATTTGAACTAAACCTCTCTTCTAGATGTCTGACTCAAAGGTCAAAATAGGCATGTTCTTAATTTCTTTAAAAGGTCTGGATTTATGATGCTCTGCACAAGTTCTAGAGAATAAAGTTATACCCTATTGCAGACACTAGGTTGGCAGGAAAAAAAAGGCTTTAATCTAAGCCGTGAAGAAAGGAAGCTCTTTAGACATAAAATTAGAAAAGCAGTATGGTGTTCCTGTGCAACCTACTGTAGGTGTTCCTGCTCTGGCAGGGGGGTTGGACTAGATGATCTTTCGAGGTCCCTTCCATCTCTGACATTCTGTGATTCTGTGTGACTGTTGGAGAGTATTTTACCTTTTGATTGCCTTGTAATTCAGATGGGACTCCTCTTTCTTTATGGCTTCAGCATAACTTCAGACTCTCAGGGAACCTCAGGTGGTGGTTGATACTGTTAAGCATACTAGAGATGTATCATGCTGCTAACTGAAGTAAAACAATTGTTATATGATTATGTAAAAAACCAACCCCAACTATTGTAGTAGTGGCATTCTAGTTTTCTGGGAAAATACTACCTAAGTTTTTTTTCTTTGAAGCATGGTATAAAATTATATTAAAAAAAGTTTGTTAAAAAATGTTGCACAGTGTATTTTAAAAGTTGGTGCAAGAGTAAACGGATATGAATTAGTCAGGAATAAACCCAATTTGGAGACTTCTGGAAAAATATAATAGGAGTAAACTTCAGCTCTTTTTTTTTCCCCTTTTCAGTGGCAGCTTGTTGGATCAGCTTTTAGCTCTTGCCATAAAACCATAGTTTGAAGCTTTTAAATACAAAGTAATATCTCATTCTTATAACTACCTTGTTTGAACTGGAGAGTTCTAAATACTGTGTTCTGTGTTAGTGTGGAGCAAGTGTATAGAGGTTTATTTTAAAGAGTAAGGCTATAGTGAAGTAATGAGGACTAGGATTGAGTTGCTGAGGGAGGCTTAAGTTTTGAGAAGACCCAGACATATTTAACAGAAATTTGAAAGCAGGCTATAATGTTTTCTGTGGGTATCATTTTCTTCATGCTTCACCCTAGCATGTGCTGAAGCAAACTTTATAGTTACAAACCTTATTAAATTGTTGCTGTGATAAATACATTAATTGCATATTTGTTTGTTTTAGGCAGCACATGAAAGATTGCACCCTTAGCCGTAAGCAGCTGTTTCAGGATATTCTGTCTTACAATTTAGAACTGATTGGCTGTTCAGAAAAAAGCACTGATGAGGAAATCGGCACTGCCACAGGTTTTTAAGAGTCTTTTGTTCACTTTTGTATACAAAGATTCATTTCTGAAGGGAATGGCTTTCATTAAAAGACCTGAGTGCAAGGACTTGGATGTAAAGCAATATATAAGATACAGCTATATGAAAAAATGGGTTTCTGCAACTGTCCAATTCAGTCCTTCGTAGTGTGGGTAGTTACCTTGGTGTCTTTACAGAAAGGAAGAAAAATCATTGATCTGTGGAACATTTAACTAAAAAAAAAAAAAAAAAAAAAATTTTTATTTGGAAAAATTTAAAAAAAAAAAAAAAAAAAAAAAAAAAAAAAAAAAAAAAAAAGTCAATCAAGGTGGAGTGTTTCCCTCTCCCCTTCCTGACTTTTTTGCAACTACTGGATTGGTCTGTTTCAGTGGAGCTGGAATTTTATAACAGTGCTGTTGCCCTGTAGGCAAGTTGCTGAACAGGACTTTTCAGTTTTTAATTTCTCTGTTCTAGTATGTAAAATTACCATACCTCTTGAAGCAGTCATATTTAATCAATTCAGCATAGGTTGTGCTAAAAGTTACCTATCCATTTCCATTTCTGTGTTTACCTAAGATGCAAATATTCTTGTTTCAGAAAAATATGTTGAAAAACTTTTTGGTATAAACAGAGACCGTATGTCAGTGGATCAGATGGCTGTTCTTCTGGCCAGCAACATCAACGAGAGTAAAAGTCACAGTAAGTAAATTGATAGATTAAATAAAATACGAACTTTAAAAAATTATGTAAGTACCTTGATGATTTTGTAAATAATATTTTTTTGTTGTTGTTGTTGTTGCTTAGTTTATTTATCTCAGTATTATAAATTCTATTTATGGTAAATCAAAGGCAGCAAAGTTTGTTTTAAGGCAGTAATATAACAGTTTTGGAGTCTAATTTGTAAAAGTGACTGAGGCACTTGAGTGCAATAGATTTTAAATAAGTAGTGTTGAAACTTATACTCACAGGATGTTTTTATCCAAAATCCTTATTAGCAAAGATGTTTTAATCTTGAATACAGGAAAGTAAAATAATATCTACTACTTTGCTTGTTTACAGCACCTCCGTTTACAACGTGGAAAGATAAAAGGAAGTGGAGACCAAAGTACTGGAGAAGACCTCTGTTAGATAGTAGCAGCGGTGAAGAGGAACAGTTCATTGGACCTGTTAAATATGGTAATCTGGATGTGTAGCATCCATTAAAAAAAGCGTACTGGGGAGAAACACCTACCAGCCTCTTCCCAACATGTAATTTTTCAAGTGGTTCTTAAGAAAACCAGTGCTTTTAATGGATCTTTTGACTTCCTATTTCCTCCATGCAAACTGTATTTTTCATAAATGCGTGAAGTTTGACCTGAATTTGTTGTATTTAAGGGGGGGGAAAGAATCTAGTATGAGGTGTGAGTGGAAGTTAAGTTGGAATTTCTACTTGCCTTTTCTTAAAAGGAACATAAGGAACTATTTCCCTAGAATGTTTCAGTTTTGCCTATAGACAATTAGGATTTTTAAAAATTACTTTTATTTTTCCCTCCCAGAACTAGAAGGAGTAAAACTTCATGTGTTTGGTTATCTTAAATTTGTACAGAGTTAGAAATTGTTGTTGAGGTCAGAAATAAAAAAAGCCCTACTGTTAAACAGCATTTGAGGCTTGGAAGCTTGCTAGAGTGTCAGTAACCCAGTTGTTTCATATGTGACTTGTGCCAGCAGAACAAATCCTGTAAAATGGATTTTTAGAGACTTAGAATTGAGATAAATGTTTCTTTGTTAGATATGTCTTATTTTGTAATGCTGCCTAATGAACTGCCTTAATTAATGCCTGTTGATCAAAGCAGCCTTTTACTGCTATTTATTTCTTGTCTTTGCATTTGAAGTACAACCAGTTTTCTACAGACTACACAGTTCTAAGTTTTGGAGGATGTTGAAACAACCATATTTTGCTCTGGTCAATGGCTATACTTGAAATATATAAATGCCACCCCTTGTGTGAGTTCTAATCCTACAGGTCACTTCTGTTTTGAAAAGAAACATTTTTAAATTTATTTTTTTATTTGCAGCCCATCCCACAGAACATAAAAAAAGAGTTCCAGCTCTTGATGCCGTGGTGACTCCAGATGATGTCCGATATTTTACAAGTGAGACTGATGACATTTCCAACTTGGAGGCAAGCGTCCAAGAAAACCCCTGTGATGTCCAGCTTTGGATTAAACTCGCATACAAATACTTGAATCAAAGTGAAGGGTAAGTCTGATAAATTTTAGATTTGATTTTGTGCTTTACCCATGCTTCTATAATCAAGTTTCCTTTCTGATGGATGTAAAAGAACTTTCTTCAACAGTGTCACAAAAAACATACTACTTGAAAGCAAGTTAAAAAATAGATTAGATTTCTTACTATATCCAGTATAGCATGTGAGTAATGAATTACACTGACGGTTTATCTTTAGGAGGGTTCTGATTCAGAATGGAAGTTGATGGAAAGTAGTGTAGGAGAAATAATTGTTTGTACTTGAAAAGTGCACAGCCTAATGTATTCCCAAGATTACAGTGGAATGTTGTACTCCCAGTGATAAAGTAATGGACCAGTAAACTCGAATCAGTTTCTCCTTTACAGAGTGAATGGTTGGAATAATGTTTGAAATTACTTTCATCAGAAAGCTTTCTTATAAGTTCTGCTGTATGGTTTTATCCCTGTAGAAATGGTCCAGTTGAGTGCTCAGTTTCTTATTTTGTAATTTTTTTAACTTCTGAATTTCTCAGTTTCTCTAGTGTCTGTTCCTTTAAATTATTCTGCAAAGTACCATGTTTTTATTGGCAATCAGATAATTTCAGTAGGAATTCTGTCATGGTGGTTTCATTCTAGATGTTGACTTAGATTTTAATAGTGAGGTACTGGCTTAAGCAACCACAGCAGGGAGGAAAGGGAATGGAGAGGAGCAACTCTCTTTTTTTTTTTTTTTTTTTTGAAAGCTTTGTGTGAACTGTGGACGATGGGAAATGTAGCAAATGATCGGTTCAGGTAGCTATTGGTACAGCTAAATACTAGAAGGGATAGAACCGGAAAGGCTGGTACTCAGCAAGTGGCAAGGTGAGAAGAGCACACTTTATAAGTATAAGCATACTTGGAAAAAGATCAAGAAAAGAAAAGAGAACACCTAATGGAAGACAGTGCATCCATTTCTTAAAACAAACATCTCCATTTCCTCCCCTGCCCCCCAGCCTCAGTACTCTGAAGAATCCGAGTGGTTTAGTATATGGCAGGGGTGCTAGAAGGGGTTGGGAAAGCTTGAGACTTATACATGGTTAACTGTGTTAGTTTTATTTGGGGATATGCATTTTTCCTCTCATAAATGTCTATGCAAAGTAATTTCTAAAGTTGTTTTCAGAATAAATGTGACCTCAGAAGCTTTCTGTGGTTTTTATGAAAATTTGTTTGAGTTAAAGCTCGGCTCTGTGGTTCAACATGTAGTCAGTTATTTGAGCTAGTCTTGTATTACTTTGCTGGTATAATCTCATGATAGTTATCTCAAAAAGTAAAGTATCTTTTTTTTTTTAATGGTTTAGAGGCAGAGAAAACCTGCATGACATGCATAGATACCTGAAATAAGGGCTTATATTTGACGACTGTAGAAAGTAAGACAAATATGTAACAAAAATAACTTACTTTACTAAGCCTTTGAAGTTTCTGCTGAAGTTTTTAAGTCTGTACAATGTAAATGCCTTTTTATGATTGCAGCTTGAGACTTCTGCTTTACAGATTAATCTTACCCATTTTCAGTTAAATTGGACTCTTACTTCAATTAGCACTCTTTTCCTACAGTGCCTTATTTTTCCATCACTGTGACCATTGCAATAATAGCCTGCGAAGACTGAAAACGTACTGAAACTTTGAAGCTTTTCATAGTAAAGGACAGCACATTTAAAAAAAAAAAAAAAAAAAGGCTGATTGTATGTCACATTCTAAGTATCCATTTTCATATTTGATACTGTGTAAGTCCTAATACTAACACAGTTGATGTGAGTGCTTTTTTAATTTTTCAATTTTTACAGGTCATCATCTGAATGTTTAGATTCTGCTTTAAATGTTTTGGCTCGAGCCCTTGAGAACAACAAAGAAAATCCTGAAATTTGGTGTCATTACCTCAGACTCTTCTCAAAAAGAGGAACCAAGGAAGAGATACAGGAAATGTGTGAAACAGCAGTGGAATATGCACCTTCTTATCAAATCTGGTGGACAGTAAGTGTAAAAAACCCAAAAAACCCAAAAAAACCCAACCAACCAATCAGAAAAACCCAGACCAAAGCGTGTATGTGAATTGCTCATGTCAGTGTGCATTTTCTACTGTAGAAAACCAGTACCTATGACAGGGAAAGTGTGAAATAAAAAAAACACTATAGCTTTTTGAAAACTCAACTGCTGCTCAGAAAATGAAGCAATTCAAAGCTCTGTTTGCAGAATATTTGTAGAAATCATCTCTTTTCTTCAGGTAATAAAACTTATGTAAAATAAAGATGTTACATTTCTTTTTTTGTTACTTATGCTTGCAAAATTTCACTTTGTCTATTTGATCTTTAATACCTAAATAGTATTTTTTGAGGTTTATTGTGAAAATTTCATGTGAGGGAGGGAAATATGGTTCATAAGGTGGTGAAAGACAATCCGAGGTTTGCGATTCAAATGATTTTAAACTTTAACCTAGGAGCTTTACTAGTATTCTGGTGATGATGATTATTATTAATTATTTCTCTCTAGTTTTTGAATCTGGAGAATTCCTTTGATGGAAAAGACTATGTGTGTGGGAGGATGCTACAGTTCCTAATGGAAGTGACAGAGGGAGAAGAAAATCCAAACCTCCTGTCCTTTCAGCTGCTGGAGACTCTTCTGTACAGGGTTCACTTAAACCTGTTTACAGGAAGACATCAGAATGCTCTTGTTCTGCTGCAGGTAACTTCTAGGTTACCACCCCAGGAATTCTCTTTGTACTGTCACCTTTCTAATGCCTGTGGCTCTGATAATGTCAACTTTAAAAGAACTGTTCCTTCCTTTATTTGCTGAAGGAATTCTCCTAGAGACTTCTGTTTTGAGATACAGTGCCATTGTAAAATTTGGATATACCTTTGGGATTTTTGTTACCTATTCTGCTTTGCTTGTGTAGCTAATAGCCTAGATTACTATGTCTCAAAATAATTCACAGGGAGTTGCTTTACCTCCTTATTTCTGGTAAGCCATAGAACACTTCTCTGTAGTGAACGGCCTGTGAGTAATGTCTTGGCTCAGGTACTCAAATGTTTATTGCTACAGAAATTATGAAACCAGTAGTTCTTGGGAAGAACATAGTATGGTGTTACCTAACAGTATTGCCTGGCTCCATAAATTGAAGACTGTTAGATCAGACTTTACTGATCCTGTGAAAATTCATGGAGTTTGCAGGCTTTTATTGTGACTTTAGGACGAATTTAGGTCACTCTTCGTGTTGTGTAGTCAGTAGAAGTGGTGGATGAAGGGGAGAAATCGAGTGCTGACATAAGCCCCTACCAGAAGTGGGAGCTGCTGTAGTTTCAGTTGCAAGTTTTTTCAGTCCTACCAGCAGGTGGCACCTGTTGTTTGCTAGACCCTAAAACATTTCGGTTGTGTGGTTTAAGGCTATAATGCTTTTTTCTAGCTCCAGTTTAAATAGAAAGTGTTATACTTGGTTGACTTCCTCCAAAGGCTATTCTAAACACAACAGTACAGATAAATATAACTATAAATGTTTGACTGAATGAACAAAAAGAACATTGGAAGAAAAACTCGGATTGTGTCAAATTGAAATGGAAATCCAGTGAATATGGGGGAATAACATGGGTTAGTTTCCCTTAACCTTTCCCCAAAGCATCATCACAAAATATGGTTTTTTTTTTTGGTTTGTTTTCTTTATATTAATCTTAAAATGTGCCTTTCCCCAAAGCATCATCACAAAATATTTTTTTTTTTTTGTTTGTTTTCTTTATATTAATCTTAAAATGTGTAGTTGAAAAGAATGTCTTGGGGAGAGATTATTTAACCATATTTAAGAGAAGATAATTTCAAAGTAAATGCTACTTCAGAATAAGTAGCAATGTGTCTATTTGAAAACTTGAAAGCAAATTTTCTGAAGTCAGTGTTTGGGAAGGGTGAATAAGTGAAATGTTTTTGAAATGTCATTTTTCACCTATTACAGGACAAATAAAAAAAGCTGAATTTTGCCTGACTTGGCAAGTACTTTCATTCTCTTGAAAGTGCATCCTTTGATTGTACCGCAGTTATCCAGAAAAATGTTGGCGCATCACTAGCCATGAGAATTCTGTTCTGGTTTAGGAGCATTTGTTTTTAGACTTTGTCTAGTTGCGTGCTCTAATGATTTTCTTTGGGATCTGGCAGTTTAACTGGGTTATTTTAGTTTTGCATATAACTGGTAAGAAAATTTGAAGCAGTATTGCTGTTCTCGGTAACATTTCTAACACATTTGGAAAAAAAAGGCTTTAGAAATGGTGTTTTTAGTAGACTTGGATAACTACAACTTAGTAGCTGTATAACTAGGACTTATAAGAACTGACAACCAACAAAAAAACCCCACCAAACCCCCAAAACCCAGTAGGATACAGCAAGATGAATCCAACTTGTAGATGAGTTGTGTGTAGAGCTAATGTATTGTTTCTACGCAACTGGAAGTAATTGTCCAAGTATTAAGCAGAAAAATGGAACACATTGGGAGATGCATATTTTTCAAAGTCTCTCTCTGTTCACATTTCAAAATATGTCTTCTACAGTTTTTCTAAACCTGTTACTAGAAGTTATGCATACTATTTGAATACAGTCACACATTCACATAAGCCAAATATAATAATGATTGATGTAAAGAATTAGTTCCTGTCTTTTCTGTGGAAAAGATTTGAAAATACTAAAGCTTACTCTTCCTGTTTCCTTTTCTCATTCTTAGATCTTAAAGATTTTATGGTTGAAATGTAATGTATTTCTTTTAACCTTTACAGAATGCTTTAAAATCGGCAAATGAAAAGATAATATCAGAGCGCCTTACTGTAAGTGACCGTTGCTTGGCTTGGCTGGCTTACATACATCTAACTGAATTTGGCATTCTCCCAGTCAAGTTCTATGATCCAGCTAATGTCAATCCTTCAAGGATCGTGAACAAAGAGCCATTTTTAATACCATGGCAAACAGTTCAAGATGTGAAGACCAATCCTGATATACTGTTAGCTATGTTTGAAGGTAAGATTAAAGAGGTAAACTACTTAATGCATTGCTCACTTGTGAATCAAGAAATATTATCCAACTTTCGGATTTTAAGGCAGTGCAAGATTGCTGATGACTGTGTTAAGCCGCTGGGGTTAATACTTCATCCTGAAGTGAATATTTCATCTTGATTTGAACAGAGCAGTGAGGGAAGTCGTGTTTTTGGGTACTTAACACACACTGAGTTTTTCATGTATGGTTCAAAGCCATAGCTTTTTCTGTGATATTCTATCAAGATAAAGAGCAGTGGCTTGTGGCAGTATGACTTTGCTAGTTTTCTTGGAATTATGCAAGCATAAAGCCAAGCTTCTCTTGTTGTTCTCTTTCTTACCCTCCCTCCCCTTAATGGAATGTGTCTATTGGAAAGTTACTTTCCTGGAAGATTACTGTGATTCCTTAGCAGAGGCAGAGCAATGCATGTGTTTGTCTTCATTCAAAGTTTAAGTAAACTGAATAATTTTTTTTTTAAAGATGTATAATGAAGATACTAGAAGAAACTGAATTCTTGACTTCTGGTGCTGCCAGAGGTAGACTTTATGATAGCATTGTATAAATGTACTGACATTTATACAGCTTAGTGTGTTAGCCAGCAGCAGTGTTGAATTGCCACTGAGAACATATCTGTGCTGCAGGTGGTAATGCAGTGTGGAAATACTCAAGGATAGATTGCAGTGTGGAAATACTCAAGGATAGATTGAGTAGCCCAACTGTGGGATTTAAGATAGTCTAACCATGATAATAGGCTGTTCATTATTGAGTAACTTTTTATTATGCTGAGAAGAAAAATAATATCCAATATTAGCTTTTGTCTCAATAGTTTTCAGCAGTTATGCTGGAAGTCCTGGAATGTAGTTTTAAATATAGTCATACACTGCTATCTGTAATGTGGCTTTAATGCTTCATTGGTAGGATGTTTTCTGTTTTTTTGTTTTGCTTTAAATGAATGAGGGGTGGAACTTCTGAAAGACTTTTGTCTTTGCACTGTGGTGGTAAGTGTTAAGAAAGCTTTTTCCAAAGATGGTAATTTTTTTTTTTTTTTAAAAATCATTTGCAAAAGCAACACTCAGAAGGTTCTTTCCACACTTACGTATTTTCATTGTGTTAAATGAGACTTTTTTTATTATGTTAAGGTTTCACATAGCTTTAACATTACTTGAGGTCTAAAAGCTTGATTTTATACTTTTGTTTTGAAGATGCGGTCAAAACATGTACTGATGAAAGCCTTGAAGCTGACCAAAGAATATCTATCTGCTTTCCTATATATAGAAATATGATCGCTTTGCTGAAGCTTCTTGAAAGGTAAGTTGTTTCAGACACTTTCAATTGGAGTGCTCAACTCTGCTTTTTTGAAAACTTACCTTTACTTTTCTTTAAGGTGGGAGTCTGCTGCAGAACTTTGTAGATCTTTGTTGGAGCTCTGTCCTAACAGCTGTCAGCTCTTGGAGAGTTTGGCCACCTTGTATTTGCAGATGGGGCAGAGTGACAATGCCTACGAAGTATGGATTGGAGCTTTTGAGAAGAATCCCCAGAATGCAGAAATCTTTTATCATTTGTGTAAATTCCTTGTTTCACAGGTAACATTCCACTCCAAAACTCATTTGTTTGGTTAGTTGGCTTTATAAAGTTTGGGGTTTGTGTGTTGTTAAAAATACTCGTCAAATCTTCATGAAACTTTTGTAATGTCTAGTTCTCCTTTATATAGATGGGAAAAATAGAATTGGTAAAATTAGTGACATGATTAAAGATAATAAAAGGAGTTACATAAAATCATAAATTGTTAGGATTGTTGTAATCCAGTGTGAATATCCTTATGCAAGAATAATAGACATTAACAGTAAACCCTGTTACATGTTTTCAGCTTTTTTTCTGCTACCTGCTGACTGACCCAGTTAGACTTCATTCTTGAGAGAATTAAGACAATGGAGGATTGCAGACAGACACACCGTTTGTTATGTATCATGCTTAAATTGTTCTTGTAATTTTCAGGTTGATGTCTGATTTTAATTTTTTTATCTTTAAAAAATACAACCCCAAAACAGGAAAGGTCAAGCAGTATTCTTCCGCTGTTGCAAGATTTCGTGGCAGCTTTCTTTGAGAATACGTGCCAACAGCACAGTCCCATGGATCTCTTAAGGTACATTTAGAATATTTTTTCCTATTTAAATTTTGGTGGTATTGGCGTTTTCTTGAAAAACAAGACAGTCTAGAATTTTTAAACTCCTTTATTTTTAGCTTGGCATGTCTTGCTAAAACTTCAGTGAATTATGATTTGGTAGTATAAGGCTTATACTTGTTGTTTGTGCATACACACTAAATTGTGAAACCACAGGCATTTAAAGATGAAATATCCAGCAAGTTTAGTGTCTGGATTTGGGGAATGGAAGTAATTCATGCGTATGCCAAAGGTTTTGTTTTGTTTCAGAGCTAGGAGCCTAGAACTGCGTACTTAAAAAACTATATTTAGGCACTTGCAAAAGACCTCAATCCAGATGTCCAGCATGCTATTAGTCAGCAGATTGTTATTGCTAAAAAGGCACAGGTTTGTATCTAGCCTGCTGATTTTCCACTTGAGTTTTAGCACCTAATTGAGAGACTTACTGAAGTTTTGAAAGATGCAAGTTCCCTATAGTCAAAATAGATGTCTCAGAAGGTCTTTAGAGGAAGACCTTCTGTGCAGATGAGTCTTTGAAATGTTTTTATCTCCATCTTAGGTGTTAGATTTTATTTCTGCTTAATTTGTTTACATTAAATTTAGTACTGGCAAGGCAGCTTAGCTGACTGTATGTAGATGATTGTACCTTAATTGATGTATTTCCTGTGAGGGAGACTGCTCTGAGATCTAAAGCAACATTTACTTAATATGTAATGAGGGAGTAAATGGTTTTTATATGAACTATTTCTATATTTCCATGTCATGCTTTCTTTATAAATTGTATCTGGATGAGTTAAACTAAAATCTAGGAAAAGTGCATCTTTTTTAATAGGTCCTATGAACTGGATTTTGGAACTAAATGTGACGTCCACATAGGACTGTTCCATGTAGATGGATATTCTCCTTTACTACTGCTTTTTTCTCTTGTAGATATCTCTTGAATTTTCCAATGCCAATTGAATTTACATCACCTCTCTATAAAGAACATCTTACAGATGATGTTATAAACCAGCAAATCCCGTATCTGTGGCAGATATACTGGTGAGACTTTCTAAAATATTTCTGAGAAACAGCTATTGGGTCTGAGTAAATTGCATTTTCAAAAGCCAAACACTCATTATTTGCCTAAGGGTATATAACTTTGGGTTCTTTCAATAAATGATCTGCCAGTCCTTAGGGAACCTGCCTGCCTGCTGCACAACAGAGACAATTTTATGGAACTGTCAATTGCACATCAACTTAAATTCTCCACTTGAGAAATCTTTCAGAAATTCTGCACTATGGGATCAATAACAGGTGTGTTCATCTCTCAGAATGATTTTTTTGTTTGGGTTTTTTTTAGGTTGCCACTGCTAGTAGTGGTGCTCTGGCTTTCAGTTGTCTCCCTTTTATTTTACAATAGTTTCTCCCACTCTGTTTAACTTTGTTTAGCCCTGGTCTCCCCACCTTCCTTGACCCACTGTTTCAGCTATTTACGGAGCTACTGTCAACAGACTATTAAAGTTGGAACTAGCCCCAGATGCCCCTCCATAGCAAAGTGACTTTTTCTTCTGCAACACATTGCAAAGGTGACAGATCTTTGTCATGTATATACAGTCTTTTTTTTGTTTCTTCCACCATTCATTCTGACAGCAGCAATATCCAGGACTGGCAAGCACCAAAGTATTAACCATTTATAACTTAACACTAGTATAACTGTGGCTACTGGAATGTTGACTGAGGCTGTTTAAGAAGTTTACCACTTTGTGGTCTGAGTTTGTCAGTCTTCACAAGCAGCTATTTGGCTTTCCGGATAAGTAAAGGGGCAAAGATGATAATGCTTCACATACTGAGTGAGGACTTGTCACTTCTTCTTTTACACTGTTGCTTATAGTTTTTAATTGGTGGACAACTTGTAAATGGGTAAAATGTATGGTTTTAAAGAAAACCTTGTACAAGGTTTAGATTAAGTTATCTTAATGGTTTCTTTTTATATTGTCCTTTAATACCAATTTTTTTTTTTTTTTTTTTGTAGGAAAATATTTGCCTTTTTGCAAGTTCAATTTTAAATTTGGTACTTGCACAGTAGAAACATTGTTAGCAGGACACTTGAGGTCACTGTTTAGTCATTAGGGACCCTAACTTAAGGCTTGGATGCTCCTCTATTTTAGCACCTGCTTCTAAGAGGAAAATTAGTGCTCATGAAGTAAGTGCCTAAATTACTTTCAGAGCTAATAATTGAGTGTTTCTGAGGTTGAGTTTTCCTGCAGTATGTGCCTGGGTATGTAGGCCTATGTATCTGTCTCTCCTTTTTTCAGATACAGAGGACAAAAGACATAAAAGTTCACTTTTACCAAGTGAAAATAGGTTAATTGGCAAAGCCTCAAAGCTCGAGGAACAGTGTTTTACTTGGAAAAATCACTGTGTGTTTGTACACATGTGTATGTGTGCACACAAACATATACACACACCTTTTTAGAAAGAGTAGCAAGCTGGTGATTTAGCTTGTAGTTCTTGGGGAAAGCAGCAGTAGAATCAGGCACTCTGGTTATGTGACTCTGTTCAGGAGGGTTCTGTACCAAGGTAGCAGTATCAGACCTATTTTATTTTTACATTTCTGTAGTCTTCCTCTTCTTGAGTTTGTTGTTTGATGTTTGTTTTTTTTTCCTCTTACGACTTACTGAAAGTCTTACCTTTTTTCACTGTTACCTGACGCTTTGAAGTAAGGATTGTTCACTGAATCCTGGTCAAAAAAATGTGTCTACTTCTTTGATGTGATTCTGTAAGTTCATCTGACCATATGTTTCTCTCGAGAACCTGTCGAACAAAATTAAGGGGTTTTTGTCTGTTCTTGTCAGGTTTTTTTTTCCTGACATTATCAGTGTATTTCTACCCCAGATCCCTGGTAGTATTTCTTTCAGAACAGTAATTTTCTTGCCATAGTCTGATACCATTTCTCAAGTGGTTTTAATCCAACTTTGAAATTTCTTGTTTGGAAAGCTCCAGAACAGAAACCCAAGACTTGTCTCCATTCTGTAGCAGTCAGAGCATCCCAATTTAAAGGATCAGTAAAAGGGTACTTTACGAGAGTAGAAGACATTTAAAAATAATTTCTGTTTAAATTGAGTTGCATTTTAAACTTCATGGTTTCTATATTACTCCTTATTATCTGCAGTTGAAATTCATGTTAATCTTAACTGATTAATTAGTCCATAATGCTGCTACACTGAAAACAGTGTTTTTTTCTTGCATCTCAGAATGGGAAGTTTTTCGTTGTTTCTTGCTCTTAATATGTGAGAAGATGCATGGTTTGTGACATACAACACTTTTTAACTTTTAATATAAACAGTTTGTGCCAGTCTCTTCACGCAAGTGTTGGTGAAGCACTGGATGCTTACGAAGCAGCTCTTGGGGCAGTGATGCAGCAGGAAACTGTTCAGAACATCTGGCTGGAGTAAGTTTTTAAGGGAGAAAAGTAAACTAATCTCAGAACTATTAAGTGAAGGCTACCAAATAATCTTACTTACTATTTTTTTTTTTTTTTCCCCCAGATACCTTGTTTTTATCAATAGCAAAGTTGTTGGATCCAACAACAAAGTTCAAGAATTCAAGCTTTTTACTGACCTAGTGAACAGATGTCTGGTTACAGTCCCTACACAAAATACCCAATTCCTTTTAGTACTGCTGATTATTGGACCAATTATGAATTCCATAATAAGGTAAAAATGTGTCTGTGGACAGTTTTAATTAAACAGACTGATTACCTTTTAGCTGGTACCTGTAATTTACTTGTTCAAATATGACAGCAGTAAAATATGAACACTGAGAGCTAGGAATTAGTAGAAAAATAAACAAGTATGTGTGGAGAGTAGTGTTTTGAGCAGAAGAGTATCTAGCAGTAGCCTTTTGAATAATGGGTGTGTAAGTGTGTCTGTGGACAGTTTTAATTAAACAGACTGATTACCTTTTAGCTGGTACCTGTAATTTACTTGTTCAAATATGACAGCAGTAAAATATGAACACTGAGAGCTAGGAATTAGTAGAAAAATAAACAAGTATGTGTGGAGAGTAGTGTTTTGAGCAGAAGAGTATCTAGCAGTAGCCTTTTGAATAATGGGTGTGTAAGGCAAAGAGAAACGTTCTTACGCTTTAGTATAGTGAATACAACTGTTAATCACAATCTGTTCTTTCCTAGAGAAAACAGAAAATGTGTAAGGGAAGGGAAGAGATGGTTGAGCAAGAGGGGTCTGCAGAGCTGTAACACTGGCAGATGGAAACAGTATTTAAGCTGTCAGTTTTGATCACGGAAATGACAGTGGTTGAGAAACAGAAGTAGTAAAGTAGAAGTAGGAGTGAAAACAAGTTGACCCCTTATACAGACAGAATAAAACTTACAGAAATCCTGTGTCCCATTTTGCTAGCACCCAGTACATTTCTCTTTTATTCACTAAATGCAGGCTAGAAGGACTAAAATATGTAGTGTTAGCAACTAGCTAACTTTTTATTATACAAATTGATTTATGTACCCTTGAGGGATAAGGTTTGTAGTTCATAAGGTTTGTAAGTGGTAACTTGCTTTGGTCATAGTGTTCATATTTTGTCATTCCATTATTCTTAGCAAAATGAGACAGCTATAAAGTGGATTAATGTTTATAATTAAAATTTTACAGGTAATTCTTTTTTATTTGAGCTGCATTCCGAAATCTCAACATTCCAAAGCCTTGGAACGGTTTTGTTCTACCATGCCTGCTAATCCAGGACTTGCACTGAGGTATGTAAAAATACTTGTAATCAAGACAAACAGCTGGTTAACATAACTATTTTTTTTTTTGTGTGAAAACTATTTTTTTTTGTGTGAAACCTGCGTGATTGACTTTCTACTACAAAAGTAAAAGTCGTTATTACTGCATGTTGCTTCAGGCATATTGTGGCTCCTGACATGATATATCTTTCTTGTATTTGACAGGATTCTGTTCTGTCTACAGAAAGGTTATACAGTTATACAGGAATTAACTGTGCATTGTACATAATAAGTAAAAATGTTGAAAATACCATGTGTGAGTAGGGAAATGTCAGATATATATTAAATTCTTGTTGTTACTCAGTGATCTATTAAAAGTATAGTTACAGCATAGAACAAACAAAAATGAATACACCAGTCTGTAACAGTGCTACCTTAAGGCTTAATTTGACATTTATTTAGCAAAACCAAACCATTCTTAATTTTGAAAAAAAATCTTTCAGGAAACCAAACTGGTTAATGTCAGCATTGCACTGGTTCTTAATGAAACAGTATTTCAAAATGTACTCTGGCAGGATTAAGGAGTCTATATTTTACTGTATTCAGCTGCTGTGAGCTCAGAAACACTCGATTGAATAATTCTGAAAAGTCCCCCAACACTTACTGGTCATCGTCAATAGTGACCCCAAAGAATTCAAAGCAAGACTTGAAATTAATGTGTGTGGTTGAGGGTATGGGGACAGTAGAACACACGTGCTTCTGGCACACAAAGTTGAACAGCTGCATTTTTACATCACATTGCAATTCTATCTAGATGGAACTTGCAGCTTCCTTAGGCAGTGTTGATACTACTTGACATGGGTGAGCAGAACTGACCGAACAGTATCTCCTAGCAATATGACTGTGAAAATAATTAGCCTCCTTTCAAATGTACAATTACCTTGTGCATGCTAAAAATGGATCTTGTAATGTGCCAAGACCATATTTTCTCTCCAATTTCACACTTCCTAGTTATTCTCTGAAAGTGTAACTTAACTTTTTTATTTTGTTCTGAGACCATGTTCAGTAATATTGTATATAGTGGCTTGGTTTTTTTCCTACTTGCAACTCTTGGCTTAGATTAGGTATAGTACATTCTGTGTTTGTATCTTTGGATTGCTTTTCTGTTCCCAGTGATTAGAGCAGTGTTCCTTTCTCATGAATGCCTTTTACAGACTACTTCTGCGATACTGGGAGGAGAGCAGTGTTCAGATTCTGAAACTGCAAGCCAAGATGTTTACATATAATATCCCAACATGCCTGGCCATCTGGAAAATGTAATGCAACAGTCATACATCTGTTTTCATAGATATTACTTTTGTTTATAAGGTTTACATCACAAAGGTAAATCTGAAACGTCCTTCCAGTTGGGCTTGTACTGGAAGTCTCTCTTTCATTAGCTTAATATTTAAGCAGTAACTGTTACAACAGACAGAGGTATTGTCACTTCTTTAAAATGAGAAATGGAATTTCCCTCTTGGGGAAACTTACGTGAATGGATATTGTGTAAATATGAACGATGTATTTACAAATTGCCTTTTTAATTCAACTATTGACTTCTGTCTCCCCCTCTCTACCCCCCCCTTTATATATCACAATAGCAGTAATCTCCATTATCCAGTGATGCTGAACTGATCTTTTTCTTCAGTGTTTGTTCATAATGGGGAACCACTGAAATGTCTTGCTCATGTAAGGTTGTTTTTAAAAAATGGCTATTTTTATCTTTTCACTGTAGATTAACATCATTGGAAGTTAGTCAGTTTCTTCTCAAGGAACTTGTAATTCCATTCCACAGTCAGTATTCTGGCACTAAAGGCATTTAAAATAATTCAAGAATAAGTATTTTTATATATTTCTTTTCCTCAGAGCCATTGCTGCCGAGTGCTTTCTAATGGGACAAAGAGAAGTAAGTCAACACAGCTTACTAAAATCAGTAATTATAAAATTCTCTAAAACCTTTTATACCTTGGCTTTATGCAAAGCAATAGTCATCTCTTAAACCAAGATTTCTAGATAGTTGGATACTCTGTGTATAAACACCAAAGCATTTGCCTCAAGTGTGAGAAACATCTTTGGCAATCAGGGTAGAATGGATTATTTCATGAGTAGTTGTGCGTACTGTTTGTGTTTATCTTTCCCTTACCAGGGGCGCTGCATTCTCCCGGTTGTGGGGGTTTTTGTTTTGTTTTGGGTTTTGTTTTTTTTTTAGTTGCAGAAGATTGCTAGCACTTACAGTAGAGGGAAGGAAGGATTTTGTACTGGAAGATGCTAGTTTACAAGTAGTTGGAAGTGTGTGTTCATGGAAGGGTGTATAAACCAGTGTATGTAGAGAGTTTGAGTAGTTCCTGACCCTTCTAAAGACGTCAGTTCTTTTTCTCCAAAAATAACAAGTTTACTCATTGGTACTTTGGGGAGGGAAATATTTTTGTCACTCACTATACAAATACAAGAGGTTTTTGGCACAGCCAGTGAATCACACTTCAGTTCAAACAGTGGATCTTCCTGATATTGTTACTGTCACCTTAGAAATATTATTCTGCTTGTGGAAAGATGCTGTGTATTGGGGGGATCACAAGGCCCTGGGTTTGTGACTCCCCACTTGCTTGTGGTGTTTTTGAGCTACTTCTCTGCTGTATCTTGTTTTGTGTCATTCTTGTAGTGGCTGATTCTCAGCATCTTTCTTTTCTGTCAGTAGTCTTTCTTTCGAAACAGTATTAAAGCTTTAACTGATCTGTAATGGGTAGCATGCTATTATTAGACTCACTTATGAAATCTTTTCTTTTTTACTGCCTCCTAGAATGTTTAAAAAG